AGCAGTTGAAGCTGGTCCAGTAGAGGCTCGAAGTCGGAAAGGTAACAATTTACCGCCAAGTTCAGTCGGTGGCTGGCACAGGCACCTGCAGCAAATCGGCAAACTTTGCGTTAACGGAGCAGTTGTCACCCACGAGATAAGCTATGCTAGCCAGGTTGCGCTTCAAAAAGGGCAATATCCCTCGCAGAAACGCGACATGGCTTGCAGCAGTCTGATCAACTGCCTCTTCGTCCACAATTCGAGAAATCGCAAGAAGAACTTTCTCGGAGCGTTCGTCGTGACCAAACACGCCGAAGACCGCAGCACAAAGCCCCGACAAGAAAGTGCATTCGACCAGCATAATGCCGAAAGTTGGAGGAATGAAGTCGCTTATCGCGGTTGAAACCTTGTCACCAAAACAGTATTTGAGCAGCGTTTTTGAAATCCTCTTCAACGACTTGTACTTGTTGATAGAACGATCCTTACAAAAAGAGACATGGAAGCTGCATTGCACAGTTAAGTCAAGCCAGAAGTAAATGATTTTGGCTCTTATGGTCGATAAACGTAGCAAGCATTTCTAAGTTGACGCCGCTGGTCGTCATGGTGGTGAGGTAGTCTGGGTGCTGTTTTAGAGCGTGGCTAATAAGATTTGAGTAGCCAGTCTTGACGTCTTGCCTGCGAATATTGCCACTATGACTGCGATAGTGATGGGTAGGCTCATCCGGGTCGTCGAGAAGTGGCTTGAAAAAGTAGTTGCAAATTTGCTTGGTTTCAAACGAGAATGCCAGGGTCATGGTTACTTTAAAAGTGAGAGTTCACAGATGCTAGGTCGTGCTGGTGGGTGCGACCCGATGTGACAGACAGCTTTTGGCGTATATACGACACATTGACAGTTACGAAAGGACATCGTAAAAAGGTGATTTGTAAGAAGTAGGATATATATAACCGGCTTAAGCCCGATAAAATAAAGTATTGATGGGAAATGTCGATTTAGAAAAAATAAGCTATTTTGGAAGTATTGTGTTGGATTTCCAATACTTTTATTATTTCGAGCACTTAGAAATTGCAATGTGGTGTTACACCACATTACCCTATTTCAGTAAATGGCAGATTCCGGACACCAGTCCGGATGGTCGCCATACGGAATGACTGAGTCATGCCGGGTGGAATTCAGCCAATCACGGTCGGATTATTTTTTCCGGATGCCAGTGGATAGGCTTAAATGACAATTCAATAAATTACAAATAGGTGGCTACCTTGCGACAGACTTCTTCGCTGTTCATTCAGTGATTTTAAGGCGTACCCCTCAAGCCTCCAGCCACAGCTCCAACTCCAGACCACGGTGCGTGTCTTCTCCAACCCCAACGCCCCCGTAGCTCAGCGGTAAAGCGGGAGACTACGTCTCCAGGCCGCTGGTTCGAATCCAGCCGGGGGCAGATAGTTGTAAGCTTTGCTGCGTGGATTGTGTTTGTGTTGTACTCTGTGGTGAGTTTGCAATAGCTGGTGCTGTGTTGTGTGCTATGGAGCGACGCGTGTGATGCGGTATATGTATGTACATGCTGTGATGAGCATTTGCTCGTGTATTGCTGGATTGGGCGTGCTGTGCTGTGTGTTGTGCGTATGCTGCAGTGTTGTGTTGTGCTGTGCGTGTGCTGCTATGTTGTGTACTGTGCTGTAACATGCTGTGTGCATTGTGTGTGATTATGCTTTGTAATGTAGGCTGTACTGGTTGCTGAACTATCTACCGTGGTGTACTGCCGTTAAATGGTGTTAATGCTGGTGAGTGCTAGTTGCTCGTGCTTATGTTTGCTGTACTGTGCTGCCCAACGGCTTGTCAATCCAAGTTAGCTGCTACCCAACGGCTTGTCAATCCAAGTCAACTGCTGCCCACAGATGTGATGGAGGTGTGCAGGCATCTACGAGGGAACCACTGGATTTCAAGACAAGATACTGTGCTCCAAGCGAGCGATACGCTTCAGGGTGCGACGTACGCAGCAGGCGCCAGCTTCTTCGAAGGGACGAAGCTTTGCGAGTTGGTTTCTTTTGGTCGAAGGCGTGAAGACGCTGGTTCGCGGCTGTATCCAGCTTGAGTGCCAGCTCCCAGATTACGTGCTTCCAGGCCTTGTTAGCTGCGACGTCGGCTCGTGGAGGCTCCTCTGGGACTTGTTACGGCGTCTGGTACAGTACCATCATTATGTTCACTGCTGCCTTTGCTTCGGCACGCTGGTTTTGTTCCTTCTTACCTTTAACTGTTTGCCATATGTGGATAGTGTACCAGTTCAGCAGGCATCCAGCAAGGGTGGAGGCTGCGCTGAAGCTGGGACGACACCTCAACAGCAGTAGGCAGCTGTGGTGACTGCTGATGCGTCTGAGTACTCCCTAAGGCCTGGCTCTGCATCTGGGCTTGCGAGTCTTCAAGGCGACCAAGTCGCTCGCTGATGTTCACAAGCTGGGCTAACATGTTGTTAAGAATGGATGATAGTAGCGTGTCATTACCAGCGCCAGCATTGCTAAAGCTGCACGTGGTTTGTCGTCTTCCAGTGAGCTCTCAGGTACCCCCCCCCCCACTCACAGCATGTTCGTATCGTGATGCAGGAGCCAAGACGAGCGTTGGAAGAGGCGATACCGCGATGCAGCTCGTACATGTAGCGCGACGGGGCCAAGGTGCTGGTGGTGCTTTCGATGTCGATGCGAACCTCATCCATGTGCATTAGCAGCGATGCAAACGTGCAATCAACGACGTCCAATACGAGATTAAATCGAGCGTCCTGGAAACCAAGTACATGGCGGTACAGCTCGTCTCGAAGGGTCACAAGCTGACCAAACTCCAGTACCGTCAAACGCTGCTGCAGGTCACGAATCGTCGGCGTTACCACAGGTAGGTCTGGAGCTTGGTACCCCGCTAGCACTTTGGCTACGCTCTGATCCTCCTTTGTGGTCGTTCCAATGTAGGCAAACGCCTTGGTTAGTGACTCCAACAGCCAAGCCCCGCGAGTAGAAATCCACTGAATGGACAGCTTCGGCGGCGCATTGGCGTACGCAGCGGCTCCACGGCGAATGGAGTGGCTGGTCATATTCGGCGTCACCGTTTGGCTGAGAGCAGGAGGCATCGCCTTCAACGAATCTCTAATGACCTCGATAATATAACTTGCGATATTTGGTCTCTTCCTCTCTTGCTTTTGGAGCGGCTCTGACGTGCTGTTATCGTCTTCTAATAGTTGACCACAGTACAAAACAGCTTCCTCTTGTGAATACGGTTTATTACCAGGAAGGTCGGACTCTGCGAAATTAGGTGCCAGCGGAAACAAATACTCGGAGGGTTCGTCGTAGCAGATAAACAGCAACCCGAATGCGTGAAGCATACACTGCTGTCATCTCTCCGGGGACTTATATATTGAGACGCCTTGAACCATAGAGGTTTTAATCCGGGCAATGTGTAGGAAAAGCTCTCCAGAAGCTGAAATCGAGAGCTGTTGTTTACGTGCAAAGCAGGTATCGACCGCTCTCCCAAATGTATGCCACATCATAGTCAATAGAGCCGCATCATGTACAGACTTCAAACCGGTAGCCACGTCAGCTTTCGCAATTAGATACCCAACGACTACACTTAGATCATCCACGTTACACCCAGGAGCGTCTTTGGTTTGCACATTTGCGCGCAAACTCCTCTCTTCTACGTAACTAGCCATTTTGTCCCGAATCTTGGCAATTCTCTTAGAGTCACCAAGAGAGTTGGTGTAGCGCTCGCGAAGCATGCTCACAACTTGTGAAAAATACCCTAGCGCTGTCGATTTTTATAGTAGTCCATCCGCTCTCGCCTTGTTGCTTTTCTTCGTCTGTATGTAAATCAAAAAAGCTGTTAGCAATGAGTACAAGCTCTGGGTCGGGAGACTAGCTACTTCTCTATGAGCTTTATGTATGTCATCTAAATCGACTTTCCATAATCCTATTGAAGTCAGGAACTCCTCAAACATCTTCTCCGCCGCAATCTCTTGCCCTAATGTACCAGCAGGGGTGTCCAGACCTCGCGAAGCTCTTCTCATTGCCTCTCGCAGTGTGAATCCCGCGCGTAATGCAAACTGGTCGGTTGCATGGCACCTCATCGTGAATTTTTAGTCTATATTTACTCTTCAACCGCATGGAATTTTTCTCTGGTATAGACGCCTTTTACGCGATAATACATGATTTAACTTGATTTTACTAAGGCGTCTTACCTCGAAATTTTGAGAAAGCGGGACAATTCTGGAAATAAGCTGGTTTTATCTACCCCTACCCCTTAATAGCGGTTATTGGGTGGTTTGAGCAAATAAAAGTACATATTGTCCAGCGATTGGCTGTGGATTTTTTTGCTTACAGTAGGGTTAGGGTCTCCGTCAGGAATATACTTATCCTACAATAATACTGTAATAGACGCGGCTACTTTTCAAATCAAAGTTTTTTTCTTGAATTAAACCATTTTTAATTTTGATAAAAAGCACAAATATAAACTCCTGGAATTTCGCAATTAAAATAAGCTTCATAGCGGTTCAATGAAAGCTTTTATGATACACAAACTCGAAAGGAACTGGATAACATTTCCGCGAGCCTGCCATTTCACTCACAAAAGAATTCTACTTTTCCAGATGGGGGCAAGTTCTTGTAGCCTACAAGGGTCCTTAAAGTTGTAGGAGTCCTACTAGGACCCATTCATCTAGCCAACATCTGGCAAAGGCCGAATGTGAAATCCGGATCGATACAAAACTGTACCTGTACAGGTATCTAGTCTTTTTTGTAAGGATTCATTGCAATGCATCGGTACTTAAGCTGTTACATGTATTAAATAAAGGCTGCCAGCCGCTAGATTTGAGATGCGGTCGCAAGAGTTTCATGTCATTGCACGCTTGCGTTGTTTACAGGAACTAGAACAATTGAGTGTCGTTGATAAGGTGTGTACATTGCCACCATTTGACGTAGGGTTGTAGTTCACCAGCACTTGACTGACTCACTTTCGATTTAACTTGCAAACCTGTTCTGCTCGACCAATGCCGCTCAATTCGCTACAAGTCATCGCCCTGGGTTTCGCATTCGTGTTGACGCGTAACGCCATCATCCAAGCCTCAAGCGTCACTGGCACACCTCCCGGTTTCGCAATTGGGACAACGGGCGGCGGCAACGCGACGGCTGTCTATCCTACCACTGCCTCTGAGCTCGCTTCGTATCTTGGCGACAATGAACCTCGCGTCGTCGTTCTGAACCACGAGTTCGACTTCACCAACACCGAGGGTTCGACTACGGAGGAAGGGTGTCGCCCCAAGAACAACCTCGACTGCATCGACAAAAAGAACGGCTTCCAAGGGCAAGACGCCATCCAGCCAAGCTTCAGCAAGTGTGACGGCTCTACTGTTAATGTGACGTACGACAAGGCAGCCATCACCCCTCTCATTATTGGCAGTAACAAGACTCTGGTGGGCGAGGGTACCAAGGGTGTCCTGAACGGCAAGGGGATCATGGTCACAGGCAGCAACGTCATCGTCCAGAACATCCACATCACCAACTTGAATCCGCACGTGGTGTGGGGCGGTGACGCTATCACCATCAGAGGAAATGGTAACACCGCACCGAAAGGTATTTGGATCGACCACGTGAAGGTCTCCAGTGTCGGCCATCAGATGGTGGCCATCAACTTCTCCGGCGCCACTGGGGTTACGATCAGTAATTCAGACTTCGATGGCACTACCAAGTACTCGTCATCGTGCGACGGCCGCCACTGCTGGGGCTTCTTGATCCTCGGTAAGCAGACGGAGATGAGTTTGCTGGGGAACTACATGCACAAGATGTCGGGTCGGTTCCCGAAAATCGGAGGTCACGACGGTGAGGTGTCTGTTCTTCACGCCGCCAACAACTTCTTTTACGACGGTACAGGTCACGCCTTCGACGTGGCCACTGGCAAATTTGTTCTTGGGGAGGGTAACTATTTCGACTCAGTGAGCACCCCGACCCAACCTGATCCGAAAGGAAGCATTTTCATCCTAAGTGTTGCTGGTGACTGCCAAGCGAGTATCGGTCGTCCGTGCCAGCCGAACGTACTTACCAAAAGTGGCACGTTTGTCAGTAACTCGAAAGATGCAGTGACCAAGAAGATCAGCAACTTGAAGAGCCGAATTGAAAGCACCAAAGTGACGACAGCAGCTATTTGTCGGCAGCGACGGACAACTTCGGCGTTGGTGGGTTTACAGAAAATAGCGCGTTGCAAGCGAGTGTGACTGAGACTGCTGCTCCCAGCGATGGCCGAATTATTCAAACTAGTGTTAAATGGATTAAACAAGAAGTAGACATGTCCCCCGTTTCTGGTCAAGGGGGCCTAGAAATCTAACGCGCTCCTCCTATCAGAAGTGGTTTTGCTGATAATATCAGAAGTGGTTTTGCTCGATCAATCGTAGTTTTATCAAAACTGGACCAAGTACTATAATACAAGCTAACCCCCTTGATCACGTCTGCCCTCTCTACTGCAGTTGGAAAATTACACCCATACAAGGTTTTGCATTTACGCATACTTACTCAATATTAATAACGGGCTCTAATAAATTATATTCGTTTTACTACTTGTATAACTATTCCTTCAAATTGCGCTATTTGGAGTGGTATAATAATTTTGAGGCGGCATCCAGGCCCTCACAATCTAATGCTCCGCGAAAACCTAGAGCCTTTGAAGAGGTTATCGTTAACTCAAATATAAAAAGAGTTAGCTGGCGAAAATCGAGTTTGGATGGATCTTAAGTACTTCAAGTACTGTAAAGATTTGCATGGCGCTTTCTGCTCCCAGTCTTTGATAAGCGTTTGGGAGCCAAACTGTAGTGTACTCGAGAGAAGTAAGCGTAGCAACGTATTGACTAGCAGATAGCTAAGGTAATGTATTCTACGTGTAATTCGATAGAGTGGGAAATATTATCTGGAATGGTATTTTACGAAATTCTACTTTGACAATGAGCAAGGGTACCCTAATTCGGACCGATGAACCCTTTATTTAGCAAAATTAGAGGCATTCCTTCTCTTGTTAGGAGCGTAAAAGGCATCATTTCACTTCCGCATATTAGTCTCCTTCGGGGTATGGCCATCGAGCTGATTTGCAAATAATCTCTTGAATGAGAAGAAATACCGGCCTTAGCTACAGCTACTGGCTTCAACGAATTTATATGGGCGGGCTATTCCAGCCGTACAGAGGTCCCAGCATAAATGTGGAGCGACTTGTTTACTGTTAATAGTCCCTAAGGCTTTTGTGACACTACTTTAAGTAAACAGTACCCGACCGGAAAAGAAGGATAGCAAGACTCCATCTGGCTAAAGAAAAGATGAACGATCACCAGGTGCTTCATTTTCTAGCTCTCTATTATAGACTGCAGTATCTGTGCGCCACTGCCAGTGCCAAATATGGAATACCACACCGCCCATTCAGCCATGATAATCCAGCACCAAAGCTAATAAGCAGCAGAGTAAACAAAACAAACCAAGCTCATCTTTTTCATTTTGCTCATAAGACTTTTCTTCCTTTCCAGGTGGGGACAAGTACCCACTCATCTGTATTGTGTACACAGGTGAAGCTACTTGCTTGGTACATTTTGTTTGCCCTCTATGGATGAATATACACGTCTTTCCGACAGATAGTTAGGTACGATTGTGATCAGGTTAGGGCTTGTCAAATTTACGCCAATTGAATATCTTCATTTTCATTATTTGGCCAATGGCATATCATGTGGGTAGGTCTCTTATTCCGACAGCTTCCGACAAATTTTTGTCGGAAGCCCAGCCAAAATATTTATGGCTGGATACGAATACTCAGTATAAAAGTATTTTTAAAATATTCTTGTCATTCCGACAACAAGGTCCTCCAGTAGGATTCCGACTTCGAAGGAGCAAGTATTAAAGTACGTGTTTAGGAAAATGAAAAAATAACATGCCTTAACAAAAACTATTGGAACAGAAGTAAGCTTAGATACGCATGTACATGTCCTGCATTTTTTATATTAAAATAGCGTCTTTGCTAACCTCTCATTGTGATTCTAGAGGCCTGGGTGTGACGCAGTCTTGTTGCGTGGCCAGGACCACCAGTCACCATGCAGCAGAAGAAGGTCACGCTAACCAACGTGATGTGTACGACCAACGCACCAGTACGGGCAACAAGCCTGCGTCGGGTATTTCTAGTACATTTACTTGACAGTCCACCTCCACTGCCTTCACCTCGGCATCTTCCACAGTCTCGAACGCCGCCTTCATGGCCTCGGTCGTCGCTACGATAGCCACGCCCACCAGCGTCATGTTCGTCTACACCGCCACGGCCTCAGAAATGGCACTGCGCGTTTCCTATTCCACCTCTTCCGCCAGCTTGTCTCGCTTCGCTGATACTCACCGGGAAGCTGCCACTTGCGACACCGCTTCACACACTGGAGTAGTCGAGACGCTTAGGGAGAAGCCACCATGCTTACATTCTGCCCATTCAGCCGAGCTCTGCTCACCCAACGCAGAAGCGTCATCAAAGACCTCTACTGGAGCCGTCTTGTTCACGAACTCCTTCGTGGCACGAAGTTCATGCGTAGGTCCGCCGCCACGAGTTTGCCAAAAGACGCGCCACTCCCACGCGCTGCGCCGCATCCCGCGTTCGTGAAATCATCACCATAGAACGACGCCACTGAGTACACCTGCTGCAGACACGTCCGATCCAATCGACGCCAGCGCCGACACAACAAACTTCGTCACGCTCGCCGTGCAAGCACCATCGCGCGTCTCCACGTCGGCCTGCACGCCGTCAAACACTATCGTACTCATTGATTCATGTCGTGCCCGTAAACATCCACGCCCAGTACTTTGACCACACCATCACTCTGTAGGGCGCGCACCGAGCGTGCATACAAGTTGGGCAACAACACCTGCTCCGTCTCGTCCTCCGGTATCCCCTCCAGGACCACCCGCTCTACACTTGATTACACGCCACCAGCACGCCTCCCTGCCGCTGCTGTCCTTCACGCCCGCTCGCCCGTTACCAGTGCCACCGTCGCCGCCGTATCCGCCGCCCTCCGCACTAGCTCGCACATCAACCGGATGACGCACTGGCGCCATCCTTCGCTGCCACCGCTATGCCACGAACTGCGAATAAAAGTTTCAATAATTTATAACGTTAGATTTAATAAGAGATATTTGTTTTATAGTATATATGGTGTCTGGTACCTGAATGTCGGAAACATGTCGGAAAGGGCTAGGGTGTCGGAACGGTTGCGATATGGATGAATATACACGTCTTTCCGACAGATAGTTAGGTACGATTGTGATCAGGTTAGGGCTTGTCAAATTTACGCCAATTGAATATCTTCATTTTCATTATTTGGCCAATGGCATATCATGTGGGTAGGTCTCTTATTCCGACAGCTTCCGACAAATTTTTGTCGGAAGCCCAGCCAAAATATTTATGGCTGGATACGAATACTCAGTATAAAAGTATTTTTAAAATATTCTTGTCATTCCGACAACAAGGTCCTCCAGTAGGATTCCGACTTCGAAGGAGCAAGTATTAAAGTACGTGTTTAGGAAAATGAAAAAATAACATGCCTTAACAAAAACTATTGGAACAGAAGTAAGCTTAGATACGCATGTACATGTCCTGCATTTTTTATATTAAAATAGCGTCTTTACACCGCCACGGCCTCAGAAATGGCACTGCGCGTTTCCTATTCCACCTCTTCCGCCAGCTTGTCTCGCTTCGCTGATACTCACCGGGAAGCTGCCACTTGCGACACCGCTTCACACACTGGAGTAGTCGAGACGCTTAGGGAGAAGCCACCATGCTTACATTCTGCACATTCAGCCGAGCTCTGCTCACCCAACGCAGAAGCGTCATCAAAGACCTCTACTGGAGCCGTCTTGTTCACGAACTCCTTCGTGGCACGAAGTTCATGCGTAGGTCCGCCGCCACGAGTTTGCCAAAAGACGCGCCACTCCCACGCGCTGCGCCGCATCCCGCGTTCGTGAAATCATCACCATAGAACGACGCCACTGAGTACACCTGCTGCAGACACGTCCGATCCAATCGACGCCAGCGCCGACACAACAAACTTCGTCACGCTCGCCGTGCAAGCACCATCGCGCGTCTCCACGTCGGCCTGCACGCCGTCAAACACTATCGTACTCATTGATTCATGTCGTGCCCGTAAACATCCACGCCCAGTACTTTGACCACACCATCACTCTGTAGGGCGCGCACCGAGCGTGCATACAAGTTGGGCAACAACACCTGCTCCGTCTCGTCCTCCGGTATCCCCTCCAGGACCACCCGCTCTACACTTGATTACACGCCACCAGCACGCCTCCCTGCCGCTGCTGTCCTTCACGCCCGCTCGCCCGCTACCAGTGCCACCGTCGCCGCCGTATCCGCCGCCCTCCGCACTAGCTCGCACATCAACCGGATGACGCACTGGCGCCATCCTTCGCTGCCACCGCTATGCCACGAACTGCGAATAAAAGTTTCAATAATTTATAACGTTAGATTTAATAAGAGATATTTGTTTTATAGTATATATGGTGTCTGGTACCTGAATGTCGGAAACATGTCGGAAAGGGCTAGGGTGTCGGAACGGTTGCGATATGGATGAATATACACGTCTTTCCGACAGATAGTTAGGTACGATTGTGATCAGGTTAGGGCTTGTCAAATTTACGCCAATTGAATATCTTCATTTTCATTATTTGGCCAATGGCATATCATGTGGGTAGGTCTCTTATTCCGACAGCTTCCGACAAATTTTTGTCGGAAGCCCAGCCAAAATATTTATGGCTGGATACGAATACTCAGTATAAAAGTATTTTTAAAATATTCTTGTCATTCCGACAACAAGGTCCTCCAGTAGGATTCCGACTTCGAAGGAGCAAGTATTAAAGTACGTGTTTAGGAAAATGAAAAAATAACATGCCTTAACAAAACCTATTGGAACAGAAGTAAGCTTAGATACGCATGTACATGTCCTGCATTTTTTATATTAAAATAGCGTCTTTACACCGGCCACGGCCTCAGAAATGGCACTGCGCGTTTCCTATTCCACCTCTTCCGCCAGCTTGTCTCGCTTCGCTGATACTCACCGGGAAGCTGCCACTTGCGACACAGCTTCACACACTGGAGTAGTCGAGACGCTTAGGGAGAAGCCACCATGCTTACATTCTGCACATTCAGCCGAGCTCTGCTCACCCAACGCAGAAGCGTCATCAAAGACCTCTACTGGAGCCGTCTTGTTCACGAACTCCTTCGTGGCACGAAGTTCATGCGTAGGTCCGCCGCCACGAGTTTGCCAAAAGACGCGCCACTCCCACGCGCTGCGCCGCATCCCGCGTTCGTGAAATCATCACCATAGAACGACGCCACTGAGTACACCTGCTGCAGACACGTCCGATCCAATCGACGCCAGCGCCGACACAACAAACTTCGTCACGCTCGCCGTGCAAGCACCATCGCGCGTCTCCACGTCGGCCTGCACGCCGTCAAACACTATCGTACTCATTGATTCATGTCGTGCCCGTAAACATCCACGCCCAGTACTTTGACCACACCATCACTCTGTAGGGCGCGCACCGAGCGTGCATACAAGTTGGGCAACAACACCTGCTCCGTCTCGTCCTCCGGTATCCCCTCCAGGACCACCCGCTCTACACTTGATTACACGCCACCAGCACGCCTCCCTACCGCTGCTGTCCTTCACGCCCGCTCGCCCGTTACCAGTGCCACCGTCGCCGCCGTATCCGCCGCCCTCCGCACTAGCTCGCACATCAACCGGATGACGCACTGGCGCCATCCTTCGCTGCCACCGCTATGCCACGAACTGCGAATAAAAGTTTCAATAATTTATAACGTTAGATTTAATAAGAGATATTTGTTTTATAGTATATATGGTGTCTGGTACCTGAATGTCGGAAACATGTCGGAAAGGGCTAGGGTGTCGGAACGGTTGCGATATGGACAACATATTGCCTCGGCAGAGGTGCCAGTCCTGATGCTCCGTCAGCCGTTAGATTTGGGATGCGATCGTAAGATTTTAGTTTGATAAAGCACACTGTTTACCAGATCACGATATACTGCTACAAGTGTCAGTATAATCTTCATCTTGGTGCAGACTTGTAGCTGCACTTGAGTCTGACTCACTTTCAGTTTCGCTTGGTCGCCAACAAACACAACTCCGCGCTTTAGCTGACTCGCAATGCCGTACATTCCCCGACACGCCTCCATACTTTTCTTCGTGGTTTTCGCTGTCGCGTTAACGCAAAACTGCTTCACCCATGCTGCATCTGCCGTTACGGGCACGCCTCCAGGCTTCGCAACCGGAACTACGGGTGGTGGCAATGGTAAACCTGTGTATCCCACAACAATCAAAGAACTCGCTTCGTATCTTGGCGACAATCTACCTCGCGTCGTCGTTCTGAAACAACAATTCAACTTTATTAAGACTGAGGGATCAACTACGGAGAAAGGGTGTCGCCCCAAGAACAACCTCGACTGCATCGACAAAAAGAACGGCTTTCAAGGGCAAGACGCCATCCAGCCAAGCTTCAGCAAGTGTGACGGCTCTACTGTTAATGTGACGTACGACAAGGCAGCCATCACCCCTCTCATTATTGGCAGTAACAAGACTCTGGTGGGCGAGGGTACCAAGGGTGTCCTGAACGGCAAGGGGATCATGGTCACAGGCAGCAACGTCATCGTCCAGAACATCCACATCACCAACTTGAATCCGCACGTGTAGAAGAGCGCGCCCGCTCTCCCCTTCAGAGGAAATGGTAACACCGCACCGAAAGGTATTTGGATCGACCACGTGAAGGTCTCCAGTGTCGGCCGTCAGATGCCGGTCATCAAAGCTGCGGCAAAGAGCACTGAAGAGCCATAACCCAGCCTTAAATGAAACAGCTCCAATCCAACATAACATGCATCACAGCTTCCTATGATTC